GCCTAGGTGATTAAAAATAACAATGGAGGTTCCATGATAGAATTTTGCAAGACCAATGACTTATGCATTGCAAATACCCTTTTCAACATAAATAGCGACTACATGTGGACCTCACAAGATGGAATACATAGGAATCCAATTGATTACATCTGTGAAAAAGGCCATGGAGAAGCTCAGTATCATCAATCAGTATAAAGTCTGAGGCCAACTGAAACTGGCAATCAATTGTTCCTATGCAAGTTCAGGTTGAAGCTGAAGAAAATTAAAACTACTCCAGAAGAACCAGTGTACCACCTTGAATATAACCCACCTACATTTAGAGACCATCCTAAGAATAGTTTTGATGCATTGGGCACTAATGACCAAAGACCCAAAGAATTGTGTGATGACATCAAAAACATCATATAGGAAGAAAACAAGGTCATTAAAAAGGAAAGAAAAGACCAAAATGGATGTCAGAAGAGACTCTGAAAGTTGCTTTTAAACACAAGAGTACCTAAAGTGAATGGAAGAAATAAAGAAGTAAAAGAGCTGAACAGAAAATTTCAAAGGTCAGCTCAAGAAGACACCTAGTAAAGTATTTTAATGAAATGTGCAAAGACCCAGATTCAGAAATAAAAACGGAAGAACATGTGCACCATTTCTTCATCACGCTGAAAAAAACTGAAGAACAAATTAAAGTCTCAAGTTGCAATATTAAAGGATTCTATGGGCAAAATCTGTGCTGGAAGAAGTAAGAATAGACCTGTGTTGGAAGTATACCCTGAGTACTCCTTGTAAGTCAGGATGGCCAGACTTCATCTCTCATACTTCAAACATACTGTCAGGAGGGATCAGTCACTGGAGAAGGATACTGTGTTTGGTAAAGTGGAGGGTCAGTGAAGAAGAAGAAGACCCCTAGCGAGATGGATTGGCAGCATGACATCAGCAATGGGCTCAGGCTTAGCAATGATTGTGATGTTGACCCAGGACTGGGTAGTGTTTGGTTCTATTGTGTATAGGTTCACTACAAGTTGGTACCAACTCGATGGCACCTAACAACAACATCGGGCAAAATCTGGAGAACAAGAAGGCTTTCTGCCCCTGCAAAGATATACAGCCATGGAAACCCTATACAGAGTCACTATGAGTTGAAAACAACTCCACATCACTTAGCAACAACAACAACATGGGCAAAATACTGAATGATGCAGGAAGCATCAAGAGAAGAAGGAAGGAATACATAGAGTCACTGTACTAGAAAGAATTGGTTGATGTTTGTTTCAGGAGGTAGCATATGATCAAGAACTGATGGTATATAAGGAGAAACTCCAAGCTGTACTAGAAGACAACAGAACACCAATTAAGATGTTCCAACAAATGAATGCAACACTGGAATTGCTCACTCATCTATGCCAGGAAATTTGGAAGACAGCTGCCTTGCCAACTGAGTGGAAATGATCCATATTTGTACCAATTCCAAAGAAAGGTGATCCAACAGAATGTGTAAATTATCGAACAATATATCACATGCAAATAAAGTTTTGCTGAAGATAATTCAAAATGGTAACAGGAGTACATTAACAGGGAATTGCCCGAAATGGAAGTTTTCAGGATTCAGAAGAGGACGTGGAATAAAGGATATCATTGCTGATGTCAGATGGATCTTGGCTGAAAGCAGAGAATACCAGAAAGATGTTTGCTGTGTTTTATTTACTATGCAAAGGCATTCAACTGTATTGATCATAACAAATTATGAATTACATTGCGAAGAATAGGAATTCTAGGATACCCAACTGTGCTCATGTTGGGACAGAACATTGGAATGCTGACTAGTTTAAAGTCAGAAAAGTTGTGCAACATGTTTGTATCCCTTCGCCGTACTTACTCAAACTGTGCTGAGCAGATAATCTGAGAAGCTGGACTAAAAGAACAAACCCAGCATCAGGACTAGAGGAAGACTCCTTAACAACCTGTGATATGCACATGATACAAACTTAATTTCTGAAAGGGAAGAGGATTTGAAGCATTTAACTGAGGAAGATCAAAAACTACAGCATTCAGTATGCATTAGACTTCAACATAAAGAAAATAGAAAATCTCACAACTGGATCAGTAAGCAACATCATGATAAACATTGTTAATAATTTAAGCTTTCTTGTTGTTGTTAAGGACTGTGGAGTCGGTTCTGACCCATAGCGACTTTGCACAGGGTTGCTAAGGCTGCAAATCTTTACAGGAGCAAAAAGCCTCATCTTTCTCTCACGGAACAGCTGGTAGTTTCCAACTGCCAACCTTGAGGTTCGCAGCCTGATTTGTAAGTTTTCTTGGATCCACAATAAATGTCCATGTAAGTAGCAGTCAAGAAATCAAATGATGTATTGTATTGGGCAAATATGGTATAAAAGACCTCTTTAAAGTGTTAAAAAGCAAAGATGTCACATTTAGACCCAAGACAGTGTATTTTCAGTTGGACCAATAAACAACATTTTTATCAACGGAGAAAAGACCGAAGTTGTCAAGGACTTCATTCTTCTTTAATCAACTATCAACACTCCCAGAAGCAGCAGTCAAGAAATCAAACAATGTATTGCATTAGGCAAATCTGCTGCACAAAACCTTTTTAAAGTGTTGAAGAGCAAAGATGTCAGCTTGAGGACTCAGGGGCACCTGACCCAAGCCGTTGTATTTTCAGTAACCTCATATGCATGTGAAAGCTGGACAGTGAATAGGGAAGACCGTCGAAGAATTGGTGCTTTTGAGTTATGGTGTTGGAGGAGAATATTGAAAGTGCCATGGGCTTCCAAAAGAACCAATAGATCTGTTTTGGAAGAAGTGCAGCCAGAGTGCTCCTTGGAGGCCAAGATGGCCAAACTTCATCTCTCATACTTCAGACATATTGTCAGGAGGGACCAGTCACTGGATAAGGATATCATGTTTGGTAAGGTGGAGGGTCAGAGGAAAAGAGGAAGACCCCCCAACGAGATGGATTGGCCAAGTGGCAATATCGATGGACTCAAGCATGGCAACAATAGTGAGGTTGGCCCAGGATCAGGCAGTGTTTCGTTCTGCTGTGCATAAGGTCACTATGGGTCGGTACCGACTCAATGGCACCTAACAGCAACAGCAACATATACATGCAAAATCTGGAAAATAAATAAGGAAGACTGAAGCAGAATGAATGCCTTTGAAATATGGTGTTGGTGAAGAATATCAAATATAACATAGGCTGTCAGCAGAACAGACAAATCTTTCTTGGAAAAATTACAGCCAGAATGCTCCTTAGAAGCAACAGTGTAGACTTTGTCTCATACACTTTGGGCATGTTATCAGGAGGGATCAGTCCCTGGACAAGGATAACATGCTTAGTGTATACTTGCTGTTGTTGTTAAGTGCCATTGAGTCAGTTCCGACCCATAGCCATCCTGTATAGGGTTTCTGAGGAGCAGCTGGTGAGCTTGAACCGACAACCTTGCAGCTCAAACGGTGTTGCAGTCTGACACATTAACCCACAACGCTACACCAGTATATAGTAGGGGGTCAGAAAAAAAGAGAAAGATCCTCAGAGAGATGGACTGACAACATGGTAGCAACAGTGAGCTTAAAGCTAGCAAAGCTTGTGCGGGGCCAGGCAACATTCCTCCCCGTGGTGCTGTGGTCTCGTTGGGTTAAAACTGACTGTACGGCAGTAACAGCATTAACAATGAAGGTGACTAGGTCAGTTATACAAGGGCACTGAAACACTGAAGATCACTGAATTTGTTTATAATAGTAGACGATGGCATTTAGCTAAGATCAAAGAGGAATTCTCTTCCTTTTCTGTGAGTTAAAAACCTACAACAAAATTCTATTACCAGTAACTGTGATGGAAATTACCAGTCAAAAGCCAAACCCACTGCCATCCAGTAGGTGCCTACTCATAGCTTGTTCTTGTTAGGACAGCACAGAAGGGTCTCCAAGGTGGTCTTCTTTATGGAAGCAGACTGCCACATCGTCGTCAGAGCAGCTGATGGGTTTCAATGGCCGACTCGTTGGCAGCTGAGCACTTTAGCCACTGTGTCACCAGGGCCTCTGTGATGTTAGTTACATGAGTTTAGGCATTCATCCAAACTTATCATACTGTGGGTAGGAGTTGGCGCCATGACAGTGGGGTTTCAAAAGAATCCTACTGTATACTTTTAAATGGTTGCCTGTTGTATGTAAATACAGTGTATAGGTTTACATAAAGTTGTGCACTCATGGGAGGTCATAAGGACCTGTCCTTGAAGGTGGTTGAGCAGTGACCACTTGCAAGAAATGTAAGTACAGGTTCCCACATCTGAGTAGAAGATGGCCCTCAACAATCTAGACATGGCTTTGACATGGAGACTCTTCATGTCAGCATAGCCGCTGCCATTTTATATAGGTGCCTTACCTGTCCACTTATCTGAAACATGTTAACTTGTCATGATTTTCAGATGTATTTATGTGTACACATGTGAAACACAGGACAGGGCATCTCACGCATGGGAAGATCTCACAGCAGATCTGAGCATATTGTGTCCTTAGTCCAAAAGCATAACAGTTTGAATGTATTGGATCAAGGGCATTTTACAATGATGGTAACTTCTGGTTTTTACTGGACTCTTCAAAGAAAATCAATTATAGTTTTCTTTCTTTGTTTTTTTTTTTCCATCAAACCCAAGATGATGTGTAAATGTTGATTTGGATTCTTTTTTCCTCCTGGAAAGGAAATAAATTCATTTGGAAGATAATGTGTGTGTATGTGCATGAGTTTCAGTATGAGATGGTTTTTGCTTTTGAGGCACCACCCTTTTATTACCTCACAATTAAGCCCCCGTCTTTTTCTCATAAAAGTGAATGTGTGCTTTCGACATGGTTTATCAGATGCTATTAATGAACCACTATTAAGACCGCAAGGCTGCAGTACCCAGAGCCTGATGACAGGGATTAAAATAGTGTGTATTGGCTGACTGCTGCTCCTCAGCTGGACCGCTCACTCATAATTCCTTTGCATCTAGTCCCAGCAGGAGAAGATTGACAGCATTGAAGACCACGTCAACAATGCTGCTGTGAACGTTGAAGAGGGAACCAAAAACTTGGGGAAGGTAAGATTCTACTCCTGCTGACAAATCAATGGTGCTTTGGCTCCCAAGACTCTCTAGTATTAACGCAATTGATCTGCTCCCTTTAATGTTGAGGGAACCAGCAATTAAGGAAATCAGGAAGAAATGACACACAGGTAGTGCAGGCCATCGATGGTGGTTCTAATAGTCTACTCAAGGATTCATTCTGTCGAGTTAGAAATGTTTTTAAAGGAGAATCAGCTGAAGCCCCACTCCAAGGCCTTCGGGGCTACCAGGGAGTATTTTCAGAGGTTTAGGGGAGAAATGAGAGGAAGATTGCCAGAAGCCACTAGGGGCAGATGTGTAAAGACGTGACAGCATGCGTGGAGTGGTGCCATCTATTTTTCACAGAATGTTGCTTTTAACCCCAGGTATGTAGCTACAGAATAATCTGTGTAACATAAAAGCTTTGGGGGTAATCTGTGGCAGCTGAAAATATTTAAATAAGTCAGCTAGATAGTGGATTGATCGTTTTGAAACTAAAATCAATTTGTAGCAGTCTGCTTCTTGTAGCTCATTTCTCTTAAGCTCTGAGAGTTGGAGCCATTGGGATACCTGTGGAATACTTCCTTCTCCCCCACACGTACAGTCTTTAAGGTTAATTATGTACCAAGAGCTAAAGAGGCATTGCCAGGAGTAATGAGAGGAAAATGCACATCACCACAGGCACGTATTCGCCACTCAATTTCTAAATTGAATTTTTTTTTTCCCCCAGGCTGCAAAATACAAGCTGGCAGCTCTGCCTGTGGCAGGTGCACTCATCGGAGGAGTGGTGGGGGGTCCGATTGGCCTCCTTGCAGGCTTCAAAGTAGCAGGAATTGCAGCTGCACTTGGTGGTGGGGTGTTGGGCTTCACAGGTGGAAAATTGATACAAAGAAAGAAACAGAAAATGATGGAGAAGCTCACTTCCAGCTGTCCAGATCTTCCCAGCCAAACTGAGAAGAAATGCAGTTAAAAATCAGAGTTCAGCATCATGGGCGCCAACACAGCTCTCCCAATGCTGGCTCTGTTTCTCAAGACGGACACTCGGTCAGCTTCTGAAGCACAAGTGTATCAACATCGGGCTGTAGATGGCTGAACTGTGATAACTGGATATATACTTTGTAGTTTGCTGGGGGTGTCGATGGAAACGCAGAGATAGAGGAGCTAGGGCTGAGAGTGTACAGTGTCTATCAGGTAAAGTTTAAAGACTGCCAAAGAGCCTATTTGCTGTCTATACATGTGAAAACGTATCCTATAATTCTGGAGCAGACGTATGGGAATACTGGGTTATGGAAGAATAGTTTCTTCCTTAACATTGACTTGAAGGCCCTAAGGCTGAGCATAATTAATTGTAGGAGATTGTTTAAGCCTGTTAGCAAAAAAATTAGGAGCTGAAGAGTCTTTCTCATAAGATAGAGAAATCAGCATCTAGCTAGGGTAGTGGCCCAGGTGAACTTGATAGTGGGGTCTAGTTGGTGAATCCTATTGCTTTTGGTGAACCTCCCCCCCCACCCCACCCCAAATTACTGGGTAAGAAAATTAATAGTGCAAGAAAATGGAAAGAGAAGGACATCTTCTTTTCTGAACCCTTCCTTCTGCCTCTGTTTAAATAAAAATCACAGCGTGTCAGATGGCAGGAGATTTATTAAGCTGGTGGTGGTGGTGGTTGGGTGCTGTCAAGCTGATTCTGACTCATAGTGAACGTGTACTTGTTTTCCGAGGCTAGGAATCTTTACAAGAACTGAAAGCCTCATGTTTCTCCGTAGAGCAACTCGCAGATTCAAATGGCTTATCTTTCATCAGCAGTCCAGCTAAACATCCACTACGCTACCAGGGCTCCTTCAGTAAGCCAGTAGACAGGCTTATTCTGTCAGCCTGTCTCATGCCCCAAAACCTAGTGGTCTTTGCCTTTCTCCCCTTGTAATTTTGAAACGTTCTTCGGTTGGAGTTGAATTCTACCCTTGTGTAATGAATGTGATCTACCTTTTATATTGTGTACCCTCTCTCTGGAGTCCTTGTGGTGCTGCAGGATAAGCACTGGTCAACAGTTCAAACCCACCAGCCGCTCCTCAGAAATCCTACACAGGGTTGTTATGAGTTGCAACTGACTTGACGGCATAACAGTAACCCTATCTGCGATTCATCCTTTCCAGTAACCTCCAGGTTAAGCCCAGTATTTCCAACATTGTTAGAGTTGGGGCTAAAAATGAGCAGGGGAGACAACATGAGATCATCACCTAGGGCATTTTCAAATTCCAAGGGGCTGCTGCATCTCTGTCTGCTACACAAGGTTGTTAAATGCCATCGAGTTGATTCCAACTCATAGCAACCTGTGTAAGGGTTTCCTAGGAGCAGCTGGATTTGAACTGCTGACCTTGAGGTTTGCAGCCCAGTGCTGATCCTACAGTGCCATGCCAGGAGTCTTGCCCAAGTTGTCCTTTTAGCTGGTATTTGGGAGTTAAGAACTAGCTTTCCATCTCTCCCACTGTGTTCAGAGACTTCTGTCTCTTCGTACACTTTCCTACACTTCTCTCAACTGCTCTTTCTTCCCAACGGTGGTATTCTTGCTTTCCTCTACTCATATGTGAGGTGAGGATAGACTCAGCTCTTTGGCGGTACTCTGGACTGATGAAGGATTCACAGTGCTAATCTCAGTGCTAAACATTGACAGCCAGCATGGCCCACCAGTCCAACCCACTGTGTCCAACAGTTGAAAGGTTTTAAAACTAGGAAGAAAATTTAAGATTGCAGGCAGTCTCACCCTCTGTCCCCAACTCAGTTGAAATTGTAATCACCTGTGGCCTTACTCGTTCACCTTCCGGAGGACAGGAGTGGGCATCTGCTGCTTGTCCCCTGAAGCAAAACAGGTTCAGCAGGGGATTGAATGATTTACCATTTAACTTCTCCCTTGCTGAGTTTATTTTTTTAATAACGTCTGTCAATTGCTACCTTTTACTTCTGTGTCAAATCTAAAGAGATCTTTCTCTTTTATACTTTTGTAATCTCATCAGTGAATTCCAGTGAGAGAAAGCACCATTTCTTATTATCATTAATTACTTGGAGATATCAAGTATTGCTATCTGTTGGTTTGTATCTTTTCCTTCCAAGAAGGAAATGATGTGAATAAATATCAGATTCGGATCCAGTATTTGCGCTTACATGCCTGTAAGATTGGAATCATTATTTTGAACCCCTCCTTAAAAAAATCCAATCCTTTCTGTCCCATTAATACAAGGTGTCCCAACCACAATGAGCATCAGAATCACCCTGGGTGCTGGTTTGAAACAAGATTCCTCCACTCCAGCCGCACAGTGATTCTGACACAGCTAGTCCGGCCTGGTTAAGACCATTACACATTGACACCAATACTCAGCTCTGTCACTGAGTTCTGGCATTTCCAGGCTTCCATTCCTGCTTGTTACAATCCCCTCTGCTAACCCATAATTGGCCAGCAATGCTTTGAGCCCACCATCTTGGCAGCACTAAGGACCCTGGGGATTGCCAAGACAATTTTATATCGAGACCTGAAGGAGAGCGAGGTGATGTGCAGTGGAATCTCCCATCTCACTCAGCTCCCTGTTCTCATGGCCAGCCTGGGTACCGCTGCATGGACAAGCACTCCAGCAGGCTTCACACACAGACATGTTACAGTACTTACAAAAAGCTTGGTAATTTAAAATTATTTAGATATAATAGCTACTTTCTCCATAATAAACCTAAGAGCCAATTTTTCTAGAAATCACTGCGAGTGCTTGATCAGCTATTAATGATACACCTATTGTGGCGGCTTAGGGTAATGCAGTGGGCCAAAAGGTCAGTATCACCAGCAAGATCAGCAGTTCAAACTCACCAGCTGCTCCTCGGGAACCCTACACAGGGTAGCTATGGATCAGAACCAACTTGACGGGACTTAACAATAAATTATTAAGTGTTTAATGGTATCGTCAGTATAACTCAGACAAATCTTAAATTGAATGTCATGCCTCACAGTATCAGATTAAATTTATCTTCTCTAGTCCTGGTGTGGTGCTGCAAGATAATACACTGAACCACAAGGTCGGTGGTTCAAACTCACCAGCTACTCCTTGGAAATCCTATACAGAGTAACTATGAGTCAGAATCCACTCGACAACACATAACAACAATAAGGGTAGGGGAGCTTCCCCTCTACGAGAAATGTTTGTAAAGTTCAGGTTCTGTGTGGGTTGTGTGTTTATTAATGCTTTAATTTTTTTTGAACATGTGGTTCTCATTATTTATATTCATGAATACCCCTTCAGAAAGTAATCTCGTGAGCATTATAAACGATCAATGGTAAAGTATTCACATATTATCAACTCTTTCACCATCTAGGGAATTAGATTGATTGTGGGAGACAAATACATCTGTGTAATATTAAGTAAATAGATAAATTGAATTAAAAATCTAGAAGGTGTCAAGGCAATTTCCCCCAAGGTAACCAAATCAGTTAGTATTAGCACAAGACCTATAACCACAGTCTAAAGAAGGAAAAACAGAATGCCTCCAAGTCATGTAGCTACGTTTCTGTCATACCAGTTGCCTTCTGAGAAAGCATATAGTCTTTCAGACTAGCCTCAACATTGCTACCGTGGAAGCAGCATTGCGTGGAGAATCCATGAGCCCTACTTTGGGTTCTGCCTTTTGTAACCAGCTTTTTCTCAGGGGTGTCTGCCTTCTCCCATTCTGGCCATGGATTCCCCAACCCTAACCTTAGTGACCAGCAGCTTGACCCCGTCCTTTATATTTAGCCTCTCACCATTTCCTGTCACTTGTACTGTGAATGTTCGCTGTACCCATTTCTGAGCATGTTCATTTTCCATCACTTTAGTAAAAGAGTGTTGGTATGGCAAAGTTGATTTGAACCACAAGGTTGGTGGTTCAAACTCACCAGCTGCTCCTCTCGTAAGCCCTGTACAGTGTCGCTATGAGGCGGAATCAATTCGACGGCACTTAACCACAGTAACAGACTATTACCTCACATACCAATGTCATCTTTCCCAGCCACAAGCCATTCCTCACATCACTGTCCCAAGAATGAGAACCAGGTTCATCTCATTTTTCTACTGAAAACTAGGCTTTTTTTTTCAGTAGCTCCCACTGAATTCTGGATAAACTTCCACTCCCTTAGGCTGACATTCACATCTTTCCACACTCTGGCCCCACTCTCATCTCTTCAAATTACTCATATGAAATCAAGGCCCGTGAAACACACTTCTCAACCACCTGACAGGGCCACTAAGCAGCAAACATTCCACAGGGACAGTTGTAAGATAAAAACTGGTAAAAAACTTTACCTTCTTCTGGGTGATACGACTTCATTTTACAAAACTATAGTCAACAGAGATTTGTTTAAGCTTTTGAACAAACCCAGACACTTGTTTCCTAAGGGAAAGAAACCTTTTCTCCCTAGACGAGATTTAATTCAATTTCTAAACCTTCAAAACAAAATCAGTCTTGTCACCTGTGCATCTGGTAGCTAAAAAAATGAGGATTTTACTTTAGCAGCAGAGATATTTCAGCTGTGAATGGACCATTGTCTGGCTCTTAAGAACTAACATTTAAAAGAAAGGCATTTAACATTACATATTTTCCATATATTTCTCGAAGTATTTGAAATGACTTTCTTGTCTTAAGGTAAAGCAAGATGTTTACTTGGGTTTCATTAACTAAACCTACTAAATAAGTTACACATTTTTTTTGTTAAACCCTTGGTTTAAGAGTCAAAATGAGAAAAAGTTCCCTGGTGGGAATTTTGGCAAATTCTATAAAGTTTACTGAATTCCTTTTATTTTGTTGAGTGGGGCTTGTATACATGAAATACACTCATTCAACAAACATTTAACTCAATGCCTACTGTGTGTTGAGTGCTGGCTGGGGCTATATACTGGAAAAAAAAGACCTACAGAATCTACCCTTGTAAACCATTTAGGCTCATGAACTCAGACACCCAAA